TACTGCTGTATGTAAAGACACTTTAATCCTCATAAATGTTTTTCCTTGCCCTCATATTTATTGTTTCATTAAAAATTAAATTTGTTATACCAATTCGATTTCCATAATGTTAAGTTTGGGTAATCAAACAAAATTAATTAACCCTTTATCATAAAAATAAGGATTAATCTTTAGTTTATTAAGGACTTAATTTAAAAATATAAATTAGGCTCGTTGAACGATTAGGCCTAACTTATCTTTTCTTTTTCACAGGCCTATTCTTGTATTATATACTGTAATTTCATGAATACCTTTAGGCCTACACTACAGTTACTGGTATCCTTGATAACCCGACATGCAATGGACCAGTAAGGTGTCAAAATACAAAATATGTAAGATAATCAAAATCCGGATTTTAATGCAGCATTAACTAAGTTTACTTATTAGTTGGGATGGTACTAAAAAAGTTAAAAATGCGCCGCCACAGCAAACCTGCAGATTAAGCAAATTTTTATTGCCTGATTTGATTTTCACAAATCTATAATATGAGGTTTAACAAGTACCTAGATTTGCTGCTACAGGGAGGGTAGTGAAGTGTATTTTTAGTGAAATATAAATAGCCTAGTATAAACAAGATAAATTTGCCAACTTTGATCAAAATATATCCATGAACAAGCAAATTACAATAAATTACTTATTTTATTTCCCATTAAAAAACAAAGCAATTTTAAATTTCCAATTTTTAAAATTTTCTCTGTAGCCAATAACCGCACAAATACACTTCAAGATAATAAAATCATTTGTTATCTTGCTCTACCAAATGTTTTAAAGGAAGATTCCGGGAAATTTCTTGTTTTGAGGGTCAAAAATGAGAAAAACCTTTTTCCCCCTTATAAAACCCGGAAAACCTTATCCCATGGTCTGATCATGCTGGTTCACGAACGTATTCAATAAATGTAGGTTTACCAAATTTCATCAGTCAGATGATTTTCGCTTGAGTTATCGAGCTAACGGACACGTCATATCTATACCTATAAAAAGCTAAGCCCTCACTGACTGACTTGCTAACTGATCAACTTATCACTGATTCTCCTACTTCCCATTAACCTAGGTGACTGAAATTTGGTACACTGATTCCTATGGCACATTAAATAGGAAAACTAAGTATAGTTTTTATTCTGATCTGACTGTCAGGCTCCGCCCCAATGGCTCTGCAGTTTCCCATGTTAACCATCTGAGTATCTATAATATTAAAGTGTGACAGGGTTTTGTTATTTCATGATTCTGAATCAACCACTTGACGGATTTTCATGATTTTTGTGTTGAAAGAAGGATAATTTTGAGAACTAGGGAATGTCGAAGCCATAATTTTAGTTAAGGGTTTCAGTTTTTTAGAAAATAAGTTTGAAATTTTAAAAAGTCTAGCAGCCGACGCTAACATTTTACACTAGCTTTTGGTATAATACCATTTGCCGTAACAGCTGTAAACATTAAGCGTGTGTGACACAAATTCAGCATTTGGATAATAATGACATGCATAGGGTTGACTTATTTATACTATGTGTAATGCTACAGTCATTGATACGTTCATTTAATTGGTAAGAGGATGACAGACTATTTAAATATACATGGTAAAATGGTAGATGTTCTAATTTATTTTTTAGATCAGTCTTTTAAATTGTTAGTATGTTTTAGTACAATATAATTTGTTTTAACTAACAGCTGGTTGAATATAAAAATATTCTATTGAACTATCAGGTTAGTTTATTATTCTGGGATTTTGCTATTGATTATAGGAAATGAGAAAGATTCTATAACCACTGATGTATACAAATTGAGGCTCTGCCCCCGAGTCTTCAAAGGAAAGGTTATGCAAATTATTTTTCTGTTCGACTTTTTTAGGAAAGAATAGGAAAATAACAGTAAACATGTCTTAATTCATCTTGCCAGCTTTTTGTTTACAATAAATGTTTAAGCGCTTAAACTTTGCTTGGATTAGAAATGGAAATATTGACATGACTACAGTTTTATTCCCGGGCCAACAGCTCGTTCATATTTAAAAGGAATTAAATAATCTCAACAGAACAGCTGTTTCAATTAAACAAGTTGGTTCTTTGATGTTCAATACCATTATAAAATTACCAGGCTTACCAACAGGGTGCAGCACTATTAATATTTTGTTTCAATTTATGACAACCGCTAACTTGAACTCAACAGCAAGAAAAAGCTGTGATACACAATGAGAACTGTCAAAGTAGGATTGTTTACAGTTATGTTTGTTTTTAATTTAATAAATAATTTGTTGTATTGTGCGTAATTTTTTATTTTTATTTTTTTAAGTACATAATTCATCAACTTATTGACTTAATTTTTTTATATCTTTTATAAAAAAAGTATTACCGTTTGTTTTTTCCAAAAATAATGCCTGGGAAACAGAATTTGTACATTTTGTTTATATGACGTAAAAATGGTTGCTACCCATGCCTCTAACTGTTATTTATTATAAATCTGGTGAAAACAGCCAGGCAACTAACCAGTTTTAAAGTGATAACAGTGATAAGGGACAAAACATGAGAGTGGAACATGGCAGTCTAGCATCAGAGCTGCTCAGTGATAGTGGTGTTATCCAAAGATGTTTTCTGTTACTATCATGTTTGTCCTATGTATTGTGTTAATTATTATTGTCTGCTATTTTATACTATTTAACTATTTGATCTGGCAATGTGACATTCTGCTTACTTAAATTACTGGTGTTGTCTAGCAATGTTCAATTAGTTAACAATTTAGTGATCTAAATTACCATTTTTACAGCTTTTACTAATCTAATTTAACTATTGATGAAGGCAATTGGTGCATAAACATATTTCCTATCTGGCACTTAATATCATATTCATCCATAGAACTCTTGAGATAAATATATCATTGTTATGAACTGATTTTTCTATCTCTACTTATGATTTATTTGTTTTTAATTGTATTCATAAATGGTGTAGAATGAAAGTGTAACTGATCTGGCCACTATTAATAGCTAAGTGTCCCTCGACTTCCCCCTCCACTCATCCACCTCCACTAGGCCATGAATGTCAATTTTGTTGTGGTCTGTTCTCTTCATGCATAGATTTTGGCTCCTTCCTTACAATTAATTTACAACTTCGGTTTTTCAAACATTTAATTGTGTGAAGCAAACACTTCATAACTCCATCAACTTACACAAGAATAGTAGGCCTACTTATTATTTTATAACATATAACATGCATGTGCATTTAAAAATTGAGGTTTGTATAGGACAATGTCAAATTTCTTAGAAAATTACTTGCTTTCTTCTTTCTGCTATTACTGTTTTTTTTTTTTTTTTTTTTAATTTAATTTACTTGCAACAGTTCGAGAATCTTTTTGTTAACACCGCAAAAAATATTTCATATTATTCACTGTAATTCATTGTGGCATTTACTAATAACAGTAATGCTATAATGAATTTGAATTTGATATGTTTTATATTCTTATGTTTGTCTTCTGATCAGGACATAAAAAGAGGCCTAGGAGCAAATGCAGGTGGTAAAATTAATTAAGGTACTGTTTTGCTGTTAACAAAACATTGGCATTTCTAATGCTCTTCCCTGTTAGGAACATTAAAATACTAGACAACCACCATATATTAAAGATAGTAGACCTAAGATCTTTATTCAGTGCTACCACGACAAAACACTATACAGATTTTAGGTTTATTAATGTAACAAACTTGCACAATAAAATGAGTCCAATGCTCAGTAGGCTACTGTATATATATTTATTTCAGGTCACTGTACATTTAACTGTTCTTATAATATCAAGAAAGTAAAATAACAGTTAAGATAAGTTTTTCAAATAAAAATTGTGTTACACTAAGCTAAAAAGAGTCTACAGAGTGTACAATAAACAAACAGACCTGGAGGTAGAGTAGCACAGTGGAGAATAAAGGGTGGAGTTGTATTCATGACAACAACTCAGACATCAATTAAGCCCAACTTAGAGGACAAAGCTCACAAATTACACTGCTGTCGCTGCTGCAAACTTTTAATTTGATACTGTAATAAAGTTTTAATAGAGTTTATAAAGTCGTAAATTGTACACATTGAGCAACATTAACAGCCAAATGTATCTTAATTCTCACTTGTTGAATTATGTATTGTTTTCCCAAACATATTTCATTCTGAAGTGGCTGTCTATTTTGAAACTTTTACTAACTTTTTAACGAAATCAGCAGTTTTGCTTTATGATAATTTTGATTTAATGAAGGATCAAACATGTGCAAGTGCCATTTAAAACTTATGAAAATGAAAGAGTGTTTAAAGTTATTTTAAATAACCATGTAATTAAGGAGGAGCTTCTATTCAGACTTTTTACTCCATTCTTTATATCTTTAGCGATTATATTGTACAATGTAGGACGTCCATTAACCAACTCTCTCACACACACACTCACACTCGAGGAGCATACACTTTTAGCTAAAAACACTAGAGACAATGTTGAATAATCGATAAACAACTTGTAAGTCTACAGACTATATGTTAAAACACTCCGCCAGCTGACAACTTATACAGGGTGTTCAAAAAAGGTGGGGACATAATTTAGTGATTCCTTTTGGTTAAAATAAGAGAAAATCAAGAATAATATTTTTTTCCAAAATCGCTTCATTAACCAGATATCCGCTATTTTGTATTATTTACATAATCATTTTTATCATTAAATCTTTTCAACCGATCTTTATAAAACTTGGTATCCATGTTAAGGTAGAAGAGGCCTTTGTGGAAGATATTTAACTAATAAATATTTTGGCGGAATAAATGCTATTTTTAATTCATTGATTTGATCTTAGAAAACAATTTTTAGCAGAAACCAACTTCTGTCACACGATTTGTAGAGGTGGTTCTATCACACTAGGGTGTTCAAATAATTTAACAGGTAAAAATAGTACACAACAAAATATGTAAAAAATATAATTATTTGTGTGAATAGTGTTGACCATTTTTATTGTGTTTCAGGTCCTAAATGAGGCAGTAGGAGCTCTTATGTGGCACACCATAATTTTAACCAAGGAAGACCTTGAAAAGTTTAAGACACTCAGAATCATAGTTCGTATTGGAAGTGGAGTTGACAACATAGATGTCAAGGTGAGAAGTGGCGACACAAATTAATTGATTTATAAAAATATATGGACTTGGGTCAGATCAAAGTGGTACACACTCCTGTATCTAAAGGAGAGTTGAGTGTGTTAAAATTTTAAATAATACCACTTTCACATTAATAGACTAATTGTCACAGTCACAGTAGTCGTAAGTCACACATCTGGTTGCAAAATTCCCTCCAGATCGGGCAAGGTTTGATTGTTCAAAGAGCAATTTAAAGTGAGCTGCTAACCATACTAAAAAAGTGGTAATCAACCATCACCAAGGTTTCTTTGTTCATGGCCACAATTCCACGCCTTTAGGAGTCATTAGCCTATATACTGTGTATAGACAATTGCTCTTAAAATCGAGATGAAAGCAGAGATGAATGATTATAATCATTTTGAACCAAACAGATAAATAGGGAATAAAATATGAAACTGTGAGATATCAGCCTGTAGGTTTGCTGCGGTAGGGGTATTTTTTAAATGTTTATTGTATTGCTTTTGAGTATTTATAGTCGGGCTGAGTATTTATTTGTCAACAGGCAGCAGGAGAGCTGGGCATTGCAGTATGTAATGTCCCAGGCTACGGTGTAGAAGAGGTTGCTGACACAACGCTGTGTTTAATCCTCAACCTGTATCGCCGCACCTATTGGCTGGCCAACATGGTGAGGGAAGGCAAGAAGTTCACAGGGCCAGAACAGGTTAGGGAGGCTGCCCAAGGCTGTGCTAGGATACGAGGGGACACACTAGGTATCGTCGGTTTAGGTAAGTTCAAACACAAATCATACAATGGGCTTATCAACAAGGTTAAACAACTTTTGGCTTTTATGGCTCTCTGCATTTTACATCTGTGCTATTATAGAAACAGGTCTTGAACTGAGTCCAACTGAGCAAAAGTTGTGACAAACAAGTTTACTTTTATGGTTTTATAACAAACCACCTACCCACTTGCCGAAAACATTATTTGAAAAATTAGATGTTTTGTTAAACATTTCAGTGTTAGCTTAAAATATTTGTTAAAAGTACACCCTAACCTATCATAAAATTACAGGAAGATATTGTGTGGCCAAAAGGGGAGCCAACGAGGGGGGGGAATTGGTATGGTTAGGTATTGGCATTGACTATATATACCTTCAGGTACCTGTAGGTATAGTCAATGGTATATGTTTGTCCGTTAGCGCAATAACTCGAGCAAAAACTATCCAATTTTCATAAAATTTGGTACAAACGTCTAAACCTACGTTTATTGAATGAGTGTGCGAACCAGCATGATCGGACAACGGGAACAGGGGTTTATAGGGGGTTTTATGGGGTAAAAATTGGGTTTTCCCATTTTAGACTCCATGTAGATAAAAGTTCACATTATCTTTCCATACCAAATTGTAGGTATTTACTCAGGGGAGGTATAGAAGAGGCTACGATGACAGCTGTGGGCTTCTTATTAGCTGAGGGAACGCCATTACCGTAACAATACGAGCTGAAGCCATCGGCCTCGGTGGTCTAGAGGTTAACGTGCCGGGCTGATATGCTGAAGGTCCCGGGTTCGAATCCCGCTAGTAACATTAACTTTTTGTCCAAGAGTTTTTCATTATCAGCAAGTTTGGTTGGTTTGGTTCGGTTATGACAGTTTAATTTTATTATTAAGTCATTATAAAATTTTAATTGAGCAATTTCTAGTTTTATTTAATAAACAGAATTATTTTTTCTATTACTAAACTTTTGTTATATTATTTCATTATCAGCAAGTTTGGTTAGTTCGGTTAGGTTATGATAGTTTAATTTTATAATTAAAAAATAATAACATTAAATTTGAGGCATTTATAATTTTATTTTATGAACAGAACTATTTTTGCGATTAGTAACTTAAACCTTCATTGCCAAAGTGCTCTCTACTACAGCTCTGTTCACGGAGGAATTTTGAACTAATGCCTCAATCGTACCTCCCCTAAGTCAAACCCCAAATTGTACAGCTTAAAAAAAAACAAACAATTTATTGTATTGAAGTGTTTTTGTATGGTTGTTATTAGTTACAGAGAACATGTAAAAAATTCTAAATTTAAAATTCCAATGTTATTCTTATGGAGAATAAGTAAATTATTGTAGTTTGCTTGTTTATGAATATATTTTGATCAAACTTGGCAAATCTATTTATTTGATACTAAGCTAATAATGTTTTACTAAAAAATACTTTATTACCCTCCCTGTGGCAGCAAATATACACTCGTTAAACCTAATGTTATTGGATGGATTTAATTGAAAATCAAATCAGGGAAAAGGAAATTCGCGTAGTCTGCAGGTTTGTTGGGGCGGGGTGTTTTAAATTTTAACATGGTAATGTTAACCTTCTTCTTGTTCTTGTTCTTGTTGTTCTTCTTGTTCTTTTGGGTAATGTCTTGGAAAAAGGATCTGAATTATAGGACCGAATAAAGAACAAACCATGTACAAGATGATGTAATTTATTCACATTTATTCGTGCGCTTTTAGCTCTGGTATGTTGGGGCGGAAATACACTAGTATCGAGCAAGGAAGAGCCCCAACGGCAATGACCACATAGCATAAATGGACGCGTTGCAGAAAGTCAACAGTGCTGGAAGGTCAAATAATTTATACCTGTGCCGCTAGGTCAATGCCGAGGTTAGATGTCGCATAGAGTGGTGACTACTGTATCTTTTTGGTTTGCTTGTAAAACAGGATCAACAGAGATTTTCCATCGACTTAAACAATACGATACTCTCAAATTGTTCATTGCAATAACAAAATATCACACAGTTTGATGAATATTTGTGTGTAAACCGCATACCCAGTACACCTGTATTCTTTTTCCAAGACTTTATAGAAAATCACGCATTACGTGATCAGTGAAGAAAGGCTGTACCCCATGTGTTTTATAGGTAAAGAAGACAAGGGCGGTCCTAGACATATATATTTTGGGGGGTCACCGGGGGCCTGGGGGGTATGGAATACCCCCCAAAAAGGAGGGGGTCCTGGGGTTCCCCCTGGGAAAAACATATAAATAAATAAATATAGACTATACAGAGTGATTAACTCAAGGAGGCCACCATTGAAATATCGGAAACGGTAAGAATTAGAGAAAACTTAAAATGGGGGACATTCTGTGGCAGTTAAAAATATGATTTTAGTTTTTTGAAATTCAGCTGCCATTTCCCGAAATGACGGCCAAATTTGAAATTTCTTATGGAACACCCTATATTTTATCATGTTTTCGGATAGGCAATTTAAAAAATTTTTTAGCCTTGACATTTTTTTCGATAAACTCACTCGTTTAGAAGTTACAGCCTATGGAAAAATTACTTCGGGTGTACATTTTACATCATGTAGCTCCTGAACAAGTAAGTTTATAGCAAAAATGCGAAGAGTAAAAAAGTCTTTCAATTGCATCCACATTCCAAAAAGACCATAAAATTCATTTAAAATATGAATTATATTATTTAAAAAATGGCGGCAAACTTGAAAAGTGGAAAACTTTATTTTATAGTCTTTAAGGAATGTAGATGCAATTCTAAGACTAATTTACTTTTTGCAATTTTGCTCTAAACTTACTCGGTTAGGAGCTACATGTAAAATGTATACCAGAAGTCATTTTTCCATAGGCTGTACTCCTAAACCAGTGGGTTTATCGAAAAAATGTCCAGGCTAAAAAAGTTTTTAAATTGCATATTCTACCCGAAAACATGATAAAAAAACTAAAATCATATTTTTAACTGCCACAAAAAATAAAGGAATGTCCCCCATTTAAAGTTTTCTCTAATTTTTACCGTTTCCGATTTCCCAAGGGTGGCCTCCTTGAGTTGATCACCCCGTATATATGAATTTGAACGGATGGTGTTTTTGGCCTCTAGGGACCTCAAAACGAATAATTAAATCGGTCCCGGGTCCAGGTGTTACCATAAGTACTACGGTAATAGCTTATTCCCTATATGGGAAATTCGCCAAAAACCTAATAGTTATATAGAACAATATTACATTCAACCAGCTGTTAGTTAAAACAAATTATATGGGACTAAAACAAATCGATGATTACAAAGATTCCTTTAAAAAATAATTTGAACATCCTACTATTTTACTATGCATATTTAATTAATCTGCCATCCTCATACCTAAATTGGATGTATCAATGGTCAGCATTACACATAGTATAAATAAGTCAACTCTAAATATGTCTTTAAATTTGTTTCCAAATGCTGAATTTGTGTCACAAATGCTGAATGTTTACAGCTGTTATATTAAGCAAATTATATTGTACTAAAAGCTAGCTTAGAAGGTTAGCGTCGGCTGCTAGAATTTTTAAAAATTAAAACTTAATTTCTAAAAAACTGGGACCTTTAATTATAATTATGGCTTTGACATTCCCTAGTTCTCAAAATTATCTTTCTTTCAACACAAAAATAATGAAAATCCGTCGACTGGTTGATTCAGAATGTGAAAAAATTCCATTTACGTTTTAATAATATATATGATAGTTTGGACAGGTTTCAACCCTTCTGAGGCACAATACATTTACACAGTTTATGTGTAGACTATTATAACTCATAAAATAGTTCTAAAATTAAATGGATCTCCTTTTACAAACGTATATAATAACCAGAAATTTTCAGATCGTCCTTGCGTGCCATTTCATGCCACAAATTTTGACGAAAGGTTTTTTATTACATAAACTATACCTATTTACAGTGTTGACCAAACAGTTGGCAAGAAGCATTAATAGATAAGCTATGTACCAAATATGATAATTTTAGCTCTATTCTAATTATGACAAAACACGTAGTAACTAAAAGCGAGTTTTGTTTGTGTATTAAGCTTTGCAGGAGGTCTACTTTACACTGAATCGACGTTCACTTTTAATTGCTTTTGATCTTCCGGCACTGTTGACTCAGCGAAACTGAACTTGTATTTTACCGTATTTCGTTATATTAAAACTGCTGTTGTATTAGATCAAATTCCCAATGTGTCAATCGCTTAAACATGGACCACGTTTTTAGCACAGACTGTATTATTTGACTTACTGGGACTTTTGATCTACAGACACTGCAAACATTGTAGTTTTTGACCTAGCGGCACAGGTATAAATTATTTGACCTTCCGGCACTGTTGACTTCCAGCAACATTCCCGCATATATTTGTACAGCAGTTGTACAGAAGATTACAGGATCTTCCAACCGTGTGAGCGCTGTAGCACATGAAGGCGAGGGGGGAAAGGAGAGTGGAAGGGGAGGACGAATAGAATTTTCTCTAAATACCAGCTACTGCTGCTAGACACATCTTAAGTGTACCATTGAATGTATCCTTGTATCTTACTTCTCTGTCGTCTGAACATCAACAGTTAGTTTTGGAAAATTTATTTGCCAAACATTTGTTTTGTGTGGTCCTTGCTAATCAGTTACTAATTTTAACTGGTTAAATGAAATTTAGATTTTAAACATTCATAAATCGTTATCATGGAACCTGAAATTGAATGATACTAATGTTTCCTTGATACTCTTGACTTGTTTATAATTTGTTTTCATAAATGTATAATCCTTCATACCTATTTAATTTAGATATATGAAAGCTTACATTTCAATTAGATTATTTTTGCTATTGGTTGTTACAGGTCGAATTGGTTCTGCAGTTGCCCTCCGAGCGAAAGCCTTTGGTTTTAATGTCATATTTTACGACCCTTACCTGCCTGATGGAATTGAAAAATCATTGGGTTTAACTAGAGTATATACATTACAAGTAAGTGGTATTGGCAATATTAAGTGTTAACTCAGTCTAAATAATTTTATGGAATTGGTTTGAAAAGGGATAGAAATCAGCTAGCTTACCAGATGAAAATAGAATAGGGGTTAATGGATACAGGAAACATAACACTGGTATTTCATCATAGGACTTCAGAGAGTCTACTTTTTCAGGTAAAGTGTAAGAAAGGGCCATGTGGCCCTAACTTTGCCTGAAAAATAAAGTAATTTTTCATTTCATTTCATTTCAGAGAGTTGATTGAAGAACTGTGTCGTGGCCTTTTTTATGCACGCGTATTTAGTTGAGTTTGATAATTGATTAGGGTTGCTTCATTTGGAAAGAATTATTTTACAATACATAATTGGTTGATACAAAATGTCTAATGTTGTTGATGAATAATTTAACACTCTAATTATTAAGGGACGGGTGGCGTCGTCCTGTAATCCAGCTACTAGGAGGTCACGAATTGTGGATATTTATAGGCATGCACTGTGGATGCGATACTCCCCAGTGTGGATTAACGTCCATGGGTGAGTACTACGACTATCCGCAGTACTATCCTGATAATTAGACCAATTCGTATATACCAAGGAAAAATGTGGTTCGGATTCCACTATAAACTGTAGGTCCCTTCGTTGCCATTAGCTGTATGGGCTATTAGCTGTGTCTAAGGAATGTCGGCCTTAGTCACTAACAAGACTACAAGATCGCGCCACTCATCCTACACTCATCTCCATTGATACTTGGCTTAAAATACCTACTATGTATGGTCGCCATTTCATTGAACAGTATTAACAGTATTAATAACATATGATTGATATTTACTTATTGCCAACATAGAACATTGAATAATTATTAACATGTGGTTGATATACTACCCACGCTTATTAAAAAAGATCATTTGTTTTGAAAATGGCAATATTGAAGAATAAAATTAAGACGTAACAAAGTCTTTCAAATATTCAGGCTGGCGATGTATTCTGTTGGATCTGCCCAGCACTGGACTTTCATTTTCTCTCTCATGTTGAGGTTGTTCATTGATTCGTGGTGGTGGTTGTTCAGTAGGGATGGTGATGAGGTCTTCAAATGGATGATGTGGTCTTGGTTCTTCTGAAGTGGCTTCTTGCGCTGTGGGAGCAAATTTGACAGACTTTTTTTTACATTTCCGTTTGTCGTAGTAGGTTGATGTGTCTCTTGAATACATATACACTGTCGAGTCTGATTAGGTAGTGTAAGAGTCCGTACTTATTAATAATGGTTCCTGGTTTCCACAGATTTTTGTTGTTTGAGCAGTAACGTGCTTGGACTCGGTCTCCAACTTTGTACTGTCTTGCTTTGGTGTGTATGGTGTATGGTGAGGATTTTTGATGATTGTCTATTTCAGATAGCTTAATTTGTAGATTACGAATCCACTGACGTCCTAAGATAGATGGGCAGTTGTCTGGTACAATGTAGATTTCACCTTTGGATATGTTAGATTTGTATTTTATATTGACCTCTACTTTTCCATAGGGTTTGAATACATCTTTTGTGTAAGATCTAAAAAGTAAGTTAGTTGGCTGGAGTGTTAGATTGAGATCTAATTGATTGAATTTGTCTCGTAAAGTAATACGTTCTCGGGAAGTAAAGTATAGCCTGAACCGGAGTCTACTTAAAATTTTCATCGTTTGTTTTCAATATTAAGAAATGTAAGAAACCGTGGTGAGGCTTCGGTTTGAAATATGTCTACTATGTTTATTTCATACTGGTGGTCACTTGTTTCGTTTATCTGGTTAGTTGAGTGTGAGCTATTCTTGGACCTATTGTTCATAAGTGTGCTAATGCAAACTTTACCTACATGTCGTAGTCTTGAGCATTCAGAACATTTTAGTTTGCTTTTGTCCGTTCGACATTCTTTAGATAAATGATTAGATTTGCCACATCGCAAAAATAACCCGTTGATTCCCAATTCATCAAAGTTGATTCCAGACTTTGGAGTGTGTTTGGGTTTTGATTTGGGCCTGCTGGAGACATTGTTTTGAGAAGGGGGGGTCATGCTGTATAGATGTATGAGAAACCTTATTGATATCTGGTAGGTCTGATGTTGATGTTGGAAGATGTTTGAGGGAAAAAGTTTAGAGTCAAGTCTGGAAGCTTCTAAAGCCATTGCCTTCGATACGATTTCCTTGAACTCTGTAATATCAGATTGTAAAAGAAGTTCACGAATAGAGTTGTCCTTGATGCCGCGAATGAACTGGGTGCGAAGGAAGATATTTGATATGGATTATTAACATTCGCACGGTGAGATAAATTTACATTTGGTTGCTTTATCCCTAAGGTTTGTTAGTAAACTGAAATTGATTGATCATCGGTTTGATAGATTGATAGAAACTGGTGCTGGGAAACAAGTACATTTCTTTTAGGTTCTAGATGTTCTTTTAGGATTTTGATCAGGTCATCGTAAGTTAATTCGTTAGGATTATTTGGTACAGATAATGATGAAACTAGTTTGAAATTGCTTGGTCCAATTGAGTTCAAGAGCAATTTAGCACAATAATCTTTGTTAGATACAATATTTTTCATCTGAATGTAATTTTCAAAGCGTTGATAATAATTTGAAAAGAATTCCGTTTGATGGTCAAAAATTTCAAAGTTGGGCACATAAGCCATTGTATGAGTTAAGTTTGTTTCAGATTGATCAGTATCACCAGTTGGCTTTACTTTAGAACGTTGTGTTGAAAGTTGACTTAACAATGTTGTTATCATGGCTTGTTGCATTTCAAAAAATTGCTTGAATTGTTCTTGATCCATGTTGATGAGGTTTTAGTTGAAATGTTTCTGATTGATAATTGAAAATGCAGTTGAGGTTTACTCGTCGCCAATCAACTTGTCATAGCCTTGTTTATGCACGCGTATTTAGTTGAGTTTGATAATTGATTAGGGTTGCTTCATTTGGAAAGATTTATTTTACAATACATAATTGGTTGATACAAAATGTCTAATGTTGTTGATGAATAATTTAACACTCTTAATTATTAATAATAACATATGATTGATATTTACTTATTGCCAACATAGAACATTGAATAATTATTAACATGTGGTTGATATACTATAAACTGTGTCTGTTAAAATCCAAAAGTAATTTGAAAATGTAAGTTAGGTTTACCTGATGGGTTAGGGAGTTTGAAATGGGCGTGAAAATTTGTATTTTACAAATAAATGTGTTTTGGCGGGTACCCTGTCTTCTCACAGAATCTTACAAAGGAAAAAAGGTTTTTACGAACATTTTACTCTCCCTAAGTCATTTTTCCACACATTACAGCCTCGTTCACACAAGGTGAGTTTACAAGCTATTTGCCAGCGTATAAGAAGCCGGCGAGTGGGCGAGTGCGCTTTTAGTTGTTCACATGATGCTTTTTCCACTCGTTCAGTAGCTTGGTTGAACCAAATCCTCCGACATCTTTGAATAACATGCGCACAAGCACAAGCAACTGTGTTCACTCTGGGCTACTTACATGCCTACTCGCTCAAAAGCTGGCGAGGTGGCGTGTAAAGTAGCCACAGAGTAAACTTTTTCCAGAGCTTTTTTACAAGCAGGTTTTGAGCTAGTACGTTTTCACACTGAGCTATTTTACTAGCTGCGTGTAAAAAAGCCAATGTGTAGCTTGTTAACTTGCTCTGTGTGAACGGGGCTTACCTTCACTCTGCATTAGGGCAGGGTTCCCACCATGGTGTCTACTCTCCGGGAAATTCGGGAAAACCGGGAAACCTCCGGGAATTTTATCTTACCTTGAAATGTCCTGGAAAACTCCAGGAATCCACCCAAACCTCCGGGAATCCGGAGCCCAGTCATCGGAATCGTCGCCTAACCGAAACACTACCGCTTTTGTTGCCACGATCGCGGGAAACGATTATCGGTGTTGCCGAAACCGCAAGATATGCTCACGGGTATTGCCGCGATCGCGAGTGACGATTATCGGTGTCGCTGAAACCACGAGATATGACTACGGGTGTTGCCGCGATCGCGGGAAACGATTATCGGTGTTGCTAAAACCGCAAGATATGCTCACGGGTATAGCCGCGATAGCGGGATACGATTATCGGTGTTGCCGAAACCGCAAGATATGCTCACGGGTATTGCCGCGATAGCGGGAGACGATTATCGGTGTTGCCGAAACCGCAAGATATGCTCACGGGTATTGCCGCGATAGCGGGAGACGATTATCGGTGTTGCCGAAACCGCAAGATATGCTCACGGGTATTGCCGCGATCGCGAGTGACGATTATCGGTGTCGCTGAAACCACGAGATATGCCTACGGGTGTTGCCGCGATCGCGGGAAACGATTATCGGTGTTGCTAAAACCGCAAGATATGCTCACGGGTATAGCCGCGATCGCTGGAGACGATTATCGGTGTTGCCGAAACCGCAAGATATGCTCACGGGTATTGCCGCGATCGCGAGAGACGATTATCGGTGTCGCCGAAACCACGTGAGATGCCTACGGGCGTTGCCGTGATCGCGGGAAACGATTATTGGTGTTGCTAAAACCGCAAGATATGATCACGAGTATTGTCGCGATCGCGAGAGACGATTATCGGTGTCGCCGAAACCACGTGAGATGCCTACGGGTGTTGCCGCGATCGCGGGAAACGATTATCGGAGTTGCTAAAACCGCAAGATATGCTCACGGGTATTGCCGCGATAGCGGGAGACGATTATCGGTGTTGCCGAAACCGCAAGATATGCTCACGGGTATTGCCGCGATCGCGAGAGACGATTATCGGTGTCGCCGAAACCACGTGAAATGCCTAGGCGTTGCCGCGATCGCGGGAAACGATTATCGGTGTTGCCAAAACCGCAAGATATGCTCAACACGGGCATTGCCGCGATCGCGAGAGACGATTATCGGTGTTTTCGAAACCACGAGATATGCCCACGGGTGTTGCCGCGATCACGGGAGACGATTATTGGTGTCGCCGAACCCTCGAGATTTCCTCACGGCTATTGCCGCGATCGCGGTAGACGATTATCGGTGCTGCCGAAACCGCAAGATATGCTTACGGGTATTGCCGCGATCGAGAGAGACGGTTATCGGTGTCGCCCAAACCGCAAAATATGCATACGGGTGTTGCCGTGATCGTTGACGTTTTGTCGCTGGTGTTGAAGATACTGCAAGATATGCTCACTGATATTCCCACAATCGTGGGAGATGATAACTGGTGTCGCCTTACCTACCAGTTATACTATTTTATTATGTTGTATAAAATATTATTCTTCGGAAATGTTTTGTTTCAAATAATAATAATCATTAGGCCTATTAATAATAATAATAGCCTAATAATAATCATTTTCATTTATTAGCGGGTTGCGATCAGTTAAACGGGTTCCGATAGTAGCTCCTTAAAATGCAGGAATTTGTCTTGAATTCTCCTGGAAAACTCCTTGAATTTTTCAAACCAGGTTTAGTAGACACCATGCCCACGGACCTGGAAAGTCAGGGAAACAGGTAAAGGGTCAGGGAAGGTCAGGGAAAGTTTAAAAAAAGACCGCAAGTCAGGGGAATTAAGTCAGGGAAATTTACTAAAAACTTCTATAGATCAGCTGCTGAAAAGATTACCAAGGTTATGGGGTAAAAATGGGGTTTTCACATTTTTGACCCTGAAAACAAAAAAAAATTGAGATTTCTTTTCAGACTGTTTTGTAGAGCTTAAAAAAAATAATTTAGTATCTTGAAGCGCTGTTGTATGCCTATAACGGTCACGGAGAAAATTCAGAAATAGTGTAATTTAAAATTCCCATGTTATTCTTATGGAGAAAATGAAAATTGTTGTAGTTTACTTGCTTATGGATATATATTGATAAAATTAGGCAAATTTATTTATTTCATCCTATACTATTGACGTATGGTCAAAAAACACTTTTTACCTTTCCTGTTGCAGCAAACCTAAGCACTCGTTAAATCTAATGCTATTTTATTCTAATAATTATAATAATAATATATAATTATAACAATAACAAATTGCCTGCCGTCGTCATGCTCAGAGCACTTTGATAATGCAGTACTTAAAAACTTGAACATATATTTGAATTTTTTTTCAATGTAGCTTTTTGTTTTATACTTTTTTAGGGCTATTAAGTTATTTCTAATAAAAGTATGCTGTATTCATTGTACTAACTACAACAGCTATGGTTTTATAACCATTGTTGATTTTTTGTTTTAAATGGTATCGTCAATGTTTTTGTGTAAAAAAGTTTTTTTGTGTTTTTTTCCTACTGTATGTTACATGTACTCAATGAGGTACTTTGCTAATGTATAAATTGTGTTCCAGGACCTACTGTTCCAATCAGACTGTGTGTCACTGCATTGCACCCTCAATGAGCATAACCACCATCTCATAAACGAGTTCACCATCAAACAAATGAGGCCAGGTAAGCTAGTGCACACCAATTCTGTTTACTTCATATCTTGTGCAACTTTGTTGTTCAAATTCTTCTTTCAATCAGCCACTGATAGATAATCTGTTATGTAACATTATTCTATCTTAATGATGTTCTCTGATTTTAATGATGTAGAACTTGTATATTACATGTTAACAGGTGGTTAAAATTGTGTGTATTGTTAATATCAAATCAAATCATTTTGTAGTTTCCTTAAGAATACAATGGTGTCAATAAAAATACAATAATATAAATTAAAACTAGTAGGCTACAAGTTTTTTTTTTTCCTTAACAATATCATGAAAAATTTATTTGCAAGTTAATGGTTCAGATCGGATTCAAGGAATTCCTTCAAGGAGTAGGCAGGTCTGTCTATCAGCCACTTGTGAAGTTGTGTTTTCAGCGGTTTTCCCTTCAGTGACTTCAGTGATGGTGGTAGGCTATTGTTGACTTGCGGCCAGTGTAGGATGGTTTTCTGGCATACTGCGGGGTAGATGTACTGGCAGAATGAAGTCGTTTAATTCGCCTTCCTTTAGGGCTGTCGCCCTGCCTTTAATTCCAAGGGATGCTAGTTTTTTTGTGATTAGCTTGTGGCCCAGACAATCAAATGCCTTGCTGTAGTCAAGCATTACTGTTGAGGCATGTTTGCGTTCTTCTAGCTGGTCGATGATGAACTCAACAATATTTGTAACTGCACTTGATGTGGACCTTCCCTTAATGAATCCATGTTGGTTTTGGCTGATGAGTTTTTCTTCTGCAAAAAAAAGCCATTAATTGGGTTAGAACAATTTTTTCAATTACTTTGGAGAATACGGATATGAGTGAAATAGGGCGGTAGTTTTCAACATCTGTAGCAGAGCCTTTTTTGTGTTTAGGGTATATTTTTGAGATCCTTAGCAAGGATGGGAACTGGCTTAGCGAAAAATATTTATTGATGATAGTTGCTAACGGAATCACAAGTTGATTTGCACAGTGATGAGCTTTTTACAGCTTTAGCTGGGATCTCGTCAATTCCACACGATAGCTTGGGTTTTAAGGTTGCTATGGCGTCTTTTACATCTCTGATGGTTACGGGTTGAAACTGAAATTGACGTGGGTTTGTATCTATGCATGGTGAGTGATTTGACTGTTGATTTGTGGTTAGGGTTTTTTCGCCAATCTGAGAGAAGTAGATGTTGAGATGGTTTGCTATAGTTTTAGGATTTTCTTCCAGCTGTTTGTCTATTTTTAGTTTAAATTTGTGTTCCAGTGATTGTTTGGTTTTACGCTCAGAGTTTACGACATTCCACAAGGCTTTGGATTTATTTTGTGATCGAGCAATATGGTTGGATATAGCTTTTTGTTGAAGATTTCTCAATTTTAGGTCATAATCTTTTTTCCTAGCAGTCATGATGGCTTTATCAGCAATAGACCCTGAGATCTGAAATGCTTTCAGGGAGTTCAGATAGATCTCTTTTAGGTGACTTGCCTGTTCGTCACGGTATGCGCTAGGTTTTGTTTTTGTTCTGGGTCTTGTCTTTTTAATGGGGCATGAGTGGTCCAGGTTTGTGTTGCATCTAGAATTTTGCCAATACAGTAGTATCTAGGGCAGGTCCTATAGGGGCGTTTGGTGACCGGTAGAAACCAAGGATGTTTAGCTGTTTTTATCAACTTTTATATTAATCATGGCAGCTTCAGTGGTGAGTTCGTAGCAGTATTCAGCTACATTGATAGGGTTGGCAGTTGTTAGTGAGTTCTCTTTTATATAGATGGCAACACCTCCCAATCTATGGTATTCACGGCTGTATTCTGCTATCAGGCTGTATCCTGGGAGTCTTGTGTTGGCCAGGGCTTCAGAGTTTAATCCGTGTTCAGTAAGAATCAATATGGTAGGCAGAATGGTTGATAGTGTGTGGCTTAATCTATCAACTATTGATCAACCCCCTTATGTTTTGATGCATTAGAGTTATTTTGGAATTTTTACCACCAGCTTTAATTTTGTCGCCTTTTGAGCAGTTTGTGGCCTGTTTCTTTGTCTTAGGTTTTGTTACAGAAATGGTCTGGTTATGTACGTAGTTATCCTGTTGTGGTATAATGTTGATAGAAGTTGAGTGGTTGTGGGATATTGAGGTTGGGGTTAATTCTGACCCTATTCTGGCAGCCATCTGCAGTTTGTGCTCTTCGTTGATTGGATCTTCTAAGAGATTACTTTCGATGATGCTGCTTTCAAGCACTTTAATGGAGCAGTTGGAGGTGTCTAAACTGCCTATCAAATTGTTTCCAATTGGCTGACTAAGTGGACAGGGGCTGAGATTGTCTGCTTTACATTTTTTACATTGCCATATTGCACACTAAAGTGAGTGCCGCCGCAGTCCCGAGTCCGTTCAGCCGTGCGCACGATCATGTTTGTTTTCGTCTTCGTCAGTGTCGTGTTTTTTTGTGTTTTTATGTTTACGTGGTCTGACTATGTTTTTCAATGTAAATATTTGACACGGTTGCTACACCAACAATGCAACTAAGTATGGAATAACCTAGTGCAACACAGCGGAGCAGAAGATGACCTAAAGGTCGAAAAGTGTGTCCTCCATAAACATAACTGGATTGATTGACGTAAGTTGTAATTATTAATTTAAACATCAATCCGTTTGTTACAAATCAATCATGATTACAGATATCTGTTGAAAACGATTGATCCGCCGCCTCGTTGATCCGGTCTCGGTTAATCGGTCTTACTGTATTTACAGTTTGCCTGTTAACTTCATACCTGTAACTTGACCTGACAAAAGGTTCTTGCCTGAAATTGTTTTATGATAGAGATGATTGTTATTTATGAATCAGAACATGTATTTGATAAAGCTCTTAGAACTTTTTCAAACCAATGTGTTTTAAGATGGACCTTATAATTATATTAATATAATTATCACCTTTGTATTTGAGAATATTTGTCCAATCAAATGTGTTTGCAGTTCCCCTTAAGATAAAATATTCAAAGTTCTACTGTAATATGATATCCATTTCAATTTTAAGACTTAAGTTTTCATGTAGGTTAATCATTGTTACAGGTGCTTTCCTAGTGAACACAGCCAGAGGTGGTCTGGTGGATGATGATGCACTAGCTGCAGCTCTGAAACAGGGCAGGATCAGAGCGGCTGCATTAGATGTCCACGAGAACGAGCCGTACAACGTCTTTCAAGGTACCTTGTTGAAATATGCAAAATATTTGGTCGGTCAATACTAGTATAGTTAAGGGGCCTTGGGAAGTAACCACTTTTAGTGCAGACTGATGTAAATCTTCAAAGATTTTGAGCTTTATTGTAAACTGAAGTATCAAGGTATTGGAGGTTTGATATCAACAAATAAAATGACAATTTATTTTCACTGCCTGTTGCTTGATAATATTTCTCTAGTTCATACTTGGGAATAACGAATAGAAATTCTAACGAATAGCAATATTCGTTAGTTTTTTTTGGCTAACTTATATTTTATTTGTTAGTTTTTAAACTAACTAACTAATAACTTCTATCAGTTACTTTTTACGGAACTAACTAATAACTTCTAACTAGTTAGAATTTTTAACTAACTTTTCAAATTATGCAGAAGCATCTCAAATACGGGTTATTTATTTCACGTGATCAGTGAGGGTTGTGTGCGGCCGTGAGAGGTCAGCGCCCTTGTAGACAAACAATGCGGGGGGTGGGAAAAAGAAAGTCAGAGTTCAGTTGCTTTGGAATGCAGTAGGCCTGTGGAAGGGCAGTGACGGCAAATTATCAACACCCCAAGCACTGAGGGGTGGGAAGGAGGAATGTTTGTTTGGTGATTGATATATCACCTCAAGTGTCAAAACATTGTCTTCAGTTGATGTTCATTATCTGACAAGTTGTAAGTCATTTGTTTCTGTTGTAGTAATGTAAAATGTGACAATGTTTGATTAAAACACAAGTACCAGGGGACAGAGCTTGTTCGAGGTGTTTGATTTGTTCAAGAGGTAAAAAATTGAGCTTATAAGCCTACAAATATTTCCAGTCTTACTACGATTAATTAAGTTGTAAAGTCAATTTGTTTTTGGTAGACATCCACTAATCCTTAATCCTTAGCAATCTATAAAATGTCTACATTAAGCTTTAATCAATTTAAAACTCATGATACACATAAAATCTGTTATCTGATAACCGTTATTGCATTAAGTCACTGGGATCGCGGAACGTCGCAACTATATAATTAAGGGATGGTGTAATAACGCATCAATTCGTGTGGCGCATCGTCGAAAACTACAAAACGTCCTTGGCCTTTCCTTTAGATTTTTAGTTCAATATTCAGTGTATAATGTTATGCGGTAAAACACTTAATGTTTTTGAACAGTCGTAACTATCCCTTTGGTTAGTAATACATCATACAATGGAAATGTATTATATAAGCAATTCTCAATAGCATTGCGATTGGAGGAAATCGTAGGAGCCGTTTTTTAAATCATTGTGCGCAAACTTACTCATATTATATAGTATAGATTAGTAACCAAGATGTGTCATTACAAAATCCTTTAAAACAACTGCCCAACAAACAACTAACTTCTACGAAAACTAACCTTATTTTCTATCAGTTAGTTTTTTGAACTAAGTAATAACTTCTATCAGTTACTTTATACGGGACTAACTTCTAACTAGTTAGAATTTTGTTACTAGCCTTCCCAACTATGTATACTAAATGGTTTTTCATGTGTTGATTTTAAATCTTTGACAACAGATTTGAACAAAGCATTTGATGGTCTCATAGTAAGACCTGGACATGGGTCCTGATTTTTGTTTTGATGTCCCCAGAGACCAAAAACACTATCTGTTTAAATTAGAGGTGGGCCGATACCGATACTCGACACCAAAATACTCTCGTTACCAGCGTGGTTTTGGGTTCGATACCGATACTGACACTGAACCACTGAATGCTACGAATCGGTGCGGATTAAGTCAGTTCAGTCAGAGCGGGCAAATTGCCGTTGCCGTTACGAATCCTACGAATTTGCCTACTTAGTTAAAGATACTTGCAACTCGAGTCGAGTAGTAGAGGTTAAGCCGATTTCGTTGATATTTGACAAGAAAATAACAAGAAAGGAAAATGTTTGAGTTTTATTTAATCCCTTAACCCCTTTCAATATTGACATACTAGGCCTAATAATAATCGGCAACCTAGACATCGCTTGCGTCATCCATTTCACTGACAGCGACAGCTGACACTGGATAGGTAGTGGTGTGCAGCGAGTGCGATGCATTGAAATTACAATTCGATGCATCAAATCCCGATTCGATCCAGCATGCATCGATTTGGTCACGATGCAGTTCTAAAAAGCGATGTGTCGATAATCTTCATCGATACCACCATCCATTGGTTACCACTTGGACATTGGTATCGGTACCAAGACTCGATTGTCAAAAGTCGATTCCGATGATACCGATACCCGACAGAGATAAATATTTTATTTTAACATTTATTTACTTTATAGCTACAGTATTAGTTTTGTAATCACGGTTAACAATTTTCATAGCCAACTTAGAAACTATCTAGTTCAAAACAGCGACGGTGCCGGTGACATTGTTTAGCTTCAGCTCATTGCACAACACAATCTACATTTCAAGATGTCAGACTCAACTCAAGAGACAACCGGCGGGCCGGCGTGCGAATGTCCTGCCAACACGAAATTAATTATACTAAACAATGTCTATATCAATAAGTCAGACATTTAGATGTATTATTTTTATTTTTAGTACAAAATAAATAACCTAAACACGTCGAAATGTTCAGTTTAATCCCTGCATTATACGCATCATTAGAAAAATTATATTCAACCATTAAACTTTAACATCGTCATCGTCGTATGGTTAGGCTTGCTTTATATTGCGCCAAAAAGTAGGTCCATATTTTATCTGTACTATCTACCTGATTAAACAGTTAAGTGAAGTTTTAAGTGCTACTATGACATAATGTATTTATTGAAAAATATCATAAGCCTTAGTCCATGTCGATTTTGTAATGTTATAACGAATGGTGAATGTTGACAATAAAAGTATGTAACAACAGTTCTCATTGGTCAGAAGGCGACAATGCATTACCATGTTAGCCAATTGACTTTCGTGTTTCAATTGAGCAAATGACGATTGCTTAGACATCGTTTTATGTGCTTATTGTGGGTGGGAAGGGTATCGATAACTATCGTAATTCGAGATCCAATATGTAGTACGTGCTCGTTTATACATAATGAGTATTAAAGTATAAAAAACTAGGTTAGTTACAGACAGGTTCAAAACATCGATTGTTCCGATCCATTGTTGACACCCCTACACCGAGGTTATAGTGACGTCGTGCATAAGGGCCAGGCAGGCCGGTTCACAGTGAATCCACTCTGCCGAACCTATACTCTTGGTATCATCGGGAACATAGTCAAACACTTTTGTTGGTACTTTCCTGTTAAAGGGAACATTCATTATTATCGATGATTTTTTTCTCGATATATCAATATTTTTGTTTTCCGATTGTCACAAGTTGACAACTGATCTTGTTTAGGCTAAAATAGTCTATTACATGGATTAAGAAATTAAACTGTTCTAAGCTAACCTAACATAACAACCAAACTTGCTGTACCAATTGAAAATTCCGTTTGATAACAGAATAGGCAAGTTAAACACGGAATTTTTAAATGTTACACAGCAAGTTTGGTTAGTTATGTTATGTTATTTTTTTATAACAGTTTCATTTCATTATTGTTTGTTGATACTGAACAATATTTATCGTAGTTGTCAGCTGACATGTTTCAATTTGTTAAGATCGATATATCGAGAAAAAATCATCGATAATAATGAATGTTCCCTTTAACAGGAAAGTACCCTTTTGTTACTAAATAAAACTATGGAATGTTTTATAAAAGCACTCTTTTGGAGATTCTAGTCCCAAAACATAATCTTTATTGTAGGTAGGCTAAAAATAAAACCTATCTTTTGCCAAACTTTTCTCCACAGACGTCGACTTATTCTACAATAAAAAATACCAGGTTTCACTCAAAATACTTTTTGTAAAAATTTACAATGTGCTGTTTTAGCACAGTCATTCCTTGACTACGATCATTTTTACTCACTAGAGAAAAGACTCTCCTTACAAAAAGTATTTAAAGGCCAAGATGTATGTAATTTTTTTTTAAGTATAACTGCAATTGCTTTTAAAAAGAAATACAAAAACTTTCAAATGACTTAGATTAATACTTATAAGCCTATTTATAAATTAGAGGAAACTTTATTAGATCTCATCATAGTCAAATTCAAACATTTACAGTATTTTAAAATAATTAACACTCAGAAACTTTTGTGTAATGGAAACCTGCAAGCGACTGAGGCCGAGAGTGGGGGAGGGCATGTGGACCAGGCTTTAGAGCAAACTTTCACTTTTACTACCCCATGTCCCGTTAGACGGTGGGCGGGGCTTCACACCAATAAACACTCAGTTCATTCATTCACAGTAGAGAAGAGTTTTTGTGGCAGTGACGTATGTCTCTTGTCTGCTCTTCATAGCTCCACACAGACTTCTTTCGAGAAATTATAAGTGATAATCTTTATTAAAAATAAGTGAAAAACTGTTGACATTTTCAAGGAAAAAAGAAAAAAAAAGAAATTTTTACAAAATATCCTCATTTATGAATGTGTTTTCAGCTAGACTTGGTGACTTTTTCATAGTTAAACAAATTTTGAAGATATATAACTGTTTTTCATACAACTAGTGAGAAAATGTCATTATATAGGAAGTTTGTTTTTACTCTATTAGGGGGGGAAAAAAAACTTACCTTTACAAAGAGTATTTGTAGGCCAAGATGTATGTTATTATTTTTTATTTATAACTTAATGAGTTAAGTAAGATAATTGATGCAATTTTAAATGAATACAAAAACTGACAAATGACTTAAATAAATACTTATATAAGCCTATTTATAAATTAGAGGAAACTTTATTAGATCTCATGCTTTAGTCAAATTCAACCATTAACAGTAGGCCTATTATAAAATAAACACTTAGTTCCATATTTTTGCAATTGTTTTTTGCAATTAATAATAAACCTTTAACACCAAAATATAAGTTTGATACACATACATATTGTGTTTTTTTTTATGGTATAACAGTATATAATATTATTAGTGGAAGAAACTGTGCAAAAAAGATAGGTATCGGAAGTATCGGTATCGATAGGTATCGAGAGTACTTTGGTGGTATCGGTATCGACAATTTTTGGTATCGGCCCATCTCTAGTTTAAATTCATTGCGGTGATATTGTCTAATGCTGGATCACAAAGTAGTTCTTACATTTTACACAAAAATTTTATATTTTGTGATTGTTTTTTTGTGTGAGTATAATGTTTGGTTTTTTTGTTACAGGACCTCTAAAAGATGCTCCGAACCTGTTATGTACGCCGCATGCCGCATTTTACTCAGATGCGTCATGTACAGAGCTGCGGGAAATGGCAGCATCAGAAATTAGGCGAGCGATCATTGGTAGAATTCCGGACTGTCTGCGGAATTGTGTGAACAAAGAGTACTTTCCCAGCGGAGGTGTGGGTGTGGGTGTAGGCTACCCGGTGGGTGGAGCCGAGGGTATGAACGGTGGCTACTATGCTGCAGGCGGGGGTGCTGTGGGGGCAGCTACAGGAGCGGGGGCACTGCCAGTGCAACAAGCACACTCCACCACTCCTCATGAGGTGCCACACTCTGTGACAGCACCACCTCCTCCTCAACCACCACCTGTCACGCAACCCCCCGGTATCCCTCACTCCATGGTCAGTAGTGATCTGAGAGTAAGTAGCACAACACACTTTTAGATAATGTAAGCCTTCCTGTCATTTTCCTTTTTCCTTTTTAAGTTCAATCATTTTAAAGCTTTTTCATAACCCTACTAACTCAGCCATTAATACCCCTAAATTGAGACATTAGTTCTCCGACAGGCCTTCAAAATAGCTGATTCAGGTTCTCGACGATTCCACAATACTTTTGATATCAATAGTATCAAGGAAATACCGGTTTTCAATACTTTGTGACTTTTGATTCAAGGTAAAATTATGATCATCTACTGCTATCATTGCAACAAGATGTAATGATAATCTGCATCAATGATTTTGATCAGACGTAAGAATTGGCTAACTCTGGAACTCACTAACTCGGGCAGGTGGCGGAACTGGCTAACCGTCCCAGTCAGGAATTGGCTAACTCCGGATCCCGCTAACTCGATTTTGTCCCGTGGCGGAATTCGCTAACTCTGGAAGTCCCTAACGCGGCCGCGCCCACTGCACGGAGCGTTGCCAACCTTAAAAAAAGAAATAACCGTACACTGCCATATTTCAAAATGTCAGTGTCAATAAAGATAATTGTTATTGTTTTTGTCATAAGCTAACTAGAGCCCAAAGTAATTGAAACACAAATAAAAAATCATTAAAAAGACATGGTTTTGTATTTAACTGTACAACGGCCAATTAAATGTTTATGATTTCTATCTTAAATAAATACCAGTATTACATAAGATACACTTTTAAGTGCTACTCGAAGATAATTTTTTCCCCTCTAGTCATTGAAACCTGCTGTTAGACTTTTACGTTCACCATTTAAAGCAGATCAAACTATGTTATAACCAAAATCATATTAGTTTCAAAATGGCTTGTGACTACGATATTTTTGCTTTTTTACTACTACTTATAAAGAAACTGAGATTCGGTCTGTTTTTTAATTGGGATTTAGCATACGGTGATAGTTTTATGCCAATTAAAGAATCACATGTAATTAGTTGACTTGGAATGCCTCATAGCCCAGTCAAATAAAGCAAAAAATTCCCATTAGGGTGAAAAAATTCCCAGAGAGATGAAAGTTTGTTTAAACGTTCCTTTTGTTCATTAGGTTGAATAAAATAAAAAGTCCTGATGGGTGGGGGGTCGAGCTTGACTAAAGGAAGGGCTCTGGATTTTATTTTTTTTAGTTTTTCGCTTATATATCCTGTAAGTCATACTGAAAAGTGTTAAATACAAAAGTTATAGCTGACAAAATTCCCTACAAAAATGACTTTATGCATTTTTTTGTAGGACTTAACCGTTTAAGGCTAAAGGGTCAAGAAAATAACAGTATATTAAAATCGTGTTTTATTTGTAATTATATTTTTAAAGTTAATATTTCTAAACATAATTTTAATGATAACATACATGGGTCATATAGTTTAAACTAGGGGATCCAGGGATTCTTCAGTATCAACCACATTCACGGAATCGTCGTCTACCGGAGGGCCATTGATGCACGCTCCTTCCCAGTTCCGCACATTGTTGAGAAGTGGATCCTCGTTTTACGGCACCCACAACGTGTTCCACAATATTTTGTACAACTCCAAAAGATTATTGTAAGGATAGCGGCCGGAGTAGTAAGATCGAGGGTAGTAAGGGGTTGTAATTGTCCTTCGGTGCCCGTTGTTCAACCCCAATCAGTTAGTGGTAGTTTATTTCCCAGCCATTCTTGCACCTGCAAATATACTCTATACGAATGCTGCTATGCAGAGCCTTTCGTTGGTGGCAAAGGCGGGAGGTCTGCCTTCAGCCTAGTGGTGGCGGTGTCTGCTCAGATATTTTGCTCGGGATTTGTACACTAGGATCATCCGCTCAACGGCTATCGAGACTTCTTGTACGCCGAAGTCGGGTCGTAAAATACGTTGGTGATGGTATCGAGACAATTTCACAATTAATGACTTGCTTTTCTGAAAAAAATGACGAGGTGGTATCAAACCCACTAAACCCATTAATGAACAATATGCTTCTGGCAAAGTTACATTTCTGTAATTCAACGGAGGAATAACTTTTACTTTCTACTTTAGCTAACATTTTATCTGGGTTGAAGAAGATAATTTCTTGCTCGAGTGAAGCTATTGCAATCAGCAGGACCAGCAAACTTATATCCTCTCCAACGATAGCAACATGACCACTGAATGCTGTTTTTTTACTGCACAACGCACAATTGTTGTATCAGCATCAGCCTCAGATCGTCTGACTTCTACACCCTCGGAGATCATTTTCTGAGAAAGCATATTGATGAACCGGGTCTTATTTTCGTCATTACAAAGAAAGTTTTCTTGCTGTACTGTCACTGTCATTTCTTCAGTGAAATCAATGTCGACTGATACGGTCTTGGTGGTGGCTCCTGTTTGGCTTGTTTTGTGCTGTTGACAGTATCTGAGTAACCATTAAACACAACAGTGCAGAATTCACCATAGTGTTTCTTTGTGTACGTCACATATTGGTTGATTATAACTGAGAAAGTTAAGCCTACGCTCCACTTAACGCGATGTAACAAAAAGCCACCATCAATAGCATTAATTTAGAGCTTAAGAGGCGGTCGGACAGAGATTCTCGGCTGCCGACACTGGCCGTCACTTTAACATGGAGCGCATATAATAATTCCTCGTTTTCTGGTCTATCCGTGTTCCAAAAATTATTTCCCACACTCAAAACATTGTAAATGTATGTAGGATTAAGACTGTACAATATGAAAATCATAATGTTTAATTATAAGCCGGATATAAAATAAATCATTTCTTACATTTCCCATAAGGAATTGCAATACTTTCTGCTAAAATATAAAATGACTGGCACTATAAACAATTCTGGTTCAAACACCATATTGAAGAGCATATATTCATTAGTGTATTGAGTGTGACAGATATTTTTTTTTCAATGGTTAACATTAAGTTTTGTATTTTTTTATAAAAGCTTGCAAAAAAGCCTTGCTTGCCGACTGAGTACTAGTTCGACGATGTCCCGGCCGATGGCAGCACAGTCGATTGTGGACTGCAGAGCACGTTTTCAAACCGCGCCAAATACAATTCATTTAAACTGGCCACAGATCTGTTTAAATAAATAAATAACGTTATGTCGTTACATCCCTGATGTATTATAATGCCAAGGAAATGATGATATTTAATTCACAGGAATCTAAGAATCTAATATTTTCGGACTGTGTATTTACCGTATGTATTAAAATATTACTGTCATCAGAGATAAAAATAGTTCTACAACACCCGGTTTGATACAAACTATTCATCAATATAAAACAAGTTCCGTTAGAATAAACGTCTCTTTTGGTCATACTTAGTACATTAATTACGGACTTAGCTGTGTAAAGATAGCTGCTGCAATACACGGTTTGATACAAACTATTTCCCAGTATGAAAACAAGGTCCAGTGGAACAAAAGCATTTTCTGACATACGTGGTATATACGATTAAGGTCTTCCAGGAACCAAATCCACCCTCCGAACCAGCACTGCGTCGTAGCCAAGCCGGCTTCTGACTCATGGATTATCTTGGAATTGCGATGTCCTGTTTTAGGTCTATAATATTCGAGCTAATATAAAACCTCAAGTGCCCATCCGAAATCCTATTTATATATTAGAGGCACAGGATAAGGCAAAGTCTAGAAAAAACAGCCAGAGCCAGATTGCAGCTTCAAATGGCTTTGAAACGTAAAAATACGACACATAGGACCTACTGTTTTTATTTTTTATATTTTTTTATATTTAAATCGTTTCATATATCTATATAAATAAAATGCAGTTTTGTCTGTTGGCCTACATTGCTTAGAATCATGCAGTTTCTGGTTATACAGGGTTGGGCAAATGTGTGGATACCCCAAGTTAACTTTTTAATGGGTGACACCAGGAAAACTAAACTCCACATACCTTCATAAAAAATAAAACTGCACTTTTTGGACGGTATCCCAATTTTTCCCTGGACCCCAAAATGGGGTATTTTGGGGGTAGCTCCAAAATTTTAAATGTAAAGCCCCATCGAGTGACATCTCATTTTAAAGGCCTTTATTAAAGAAGAACATCAGAGAAAACTAGAGGTCTCTATCTCAACCCAGTACGACATGTCAGTCATTTTTAATTTTCATCAGCCTGAGAGAACCCACTTAAATGTAGGCATCAATATCCCATATTACATTTTTATCGGGTTATACCAGGGAAACTAAACTCCGCATACCTTCATAAAGCTGGGTTTTCCTAGACGCGGAGTCGGCCAGCGGAGAGCGGACAACGGAGAGCGGAATTGAAATTAACATGGCATTCCGCTCCGCTGCTAGGAAAACAGTAACATTAAATTACCTAAGACAAGCTGAGTCCGCTCTCCGTTGTCCGCTCTCCGCTGGCCGACTCCGCGTCTAGGAAAACCCAGCTTAAGAAATAAAAATGCACTTTTTAGTCGGTATCACAATTTTGCCCGGGACTCCGAAATGGGGTATTTTGGGGGCAGCTCAACAATTTTAAATGTAAAGCCCCATCGAGTGACACCTCATTTTAAAGGCCTTTATTAAAGAAGAACATCAGATAAAACTAGAAGTCTCTATCTCAACCCCGTACGACATGGTGGTCATTTGAAAATTCATCGTACAATTTAACCTCATTAAAAGTTTCTCTTAGGCTGATGGAAATTTAAAATGACCGCCATGTCGTACTGGGTTGAGATAGAGACCTCTAGTTTTTCGCTGATATTCTTCTTTAATTAAGGCCTTTAAAATGAGGTGTCACTCGATATGGCTTTACATTTAAAATTTTGGAGCTACCCCCAAAATACCCCATTTTGGGATCCCGGGAAAAATTGGGATACCGTCCAAAAAGTGCAGTTTTATTTTTTATGAAGGTATGTGGAGTTTAGTTTTCCTGGTGTCACCCATTACAAATTTAACTAGGGGTATCCACACATTTGCCCAACCCTGTATTATGTGTCATAGCCTAAGGCTACGGGCGTATAGGGCCGCACGGGCGTTTTTTC